AGTCCTCATGACCCACATTATTGACTAAAGTTTAATTTAAAATATTTGGTTTTTTTACACCAAAAATACCTAACATACTCCTCTAAGCCTTCCCTTAGTGTAAACATCGCACCAAGTCTACAAGGGAATAGAGCCTGTGCAGTGTGACCTCTCCTTTTCCTGCTCCCTCCAGCACAGCCCTTCCAGCCCTGGCTGTGCACCTAATCCCTGGATGGTGACGATGGGGCTTGTGCCCTGCCCTGGGATCTACACCTCATCCTGGAGTTGTCCTTCCCAACTCACATTATCCTTCACAGCAGTGTCCGGAACAACTCAATGTCTATTATTCCAAATCCACCTGCTGAAATTTAGCATCTGCCAATCCTTCACTCTCAATCAGAGTAATAATCTGAGCCAACCCCTTTCCTGGCATAAACCCTGTCTGTGGTGGAATTAAACCACAGATGAATTTGACCCCTCACATCCTGAGCAAAATCCACGTTCCTGGGAGCAGTGTTTATAAGCAGCAGTATTGCAGGACATGTAAGTCTGGGAGCCTTTAGCCTCTTAGGGGGATTGGCCCAGCTCACTAATCAGGGATTGTTTCCATACCAACAGCTAATCAGGGGCAGATCCCACCAGTCTTGGGGACACTTCTGAGCTCTTAAAGCCATAGCTCAAGTTTTCCCCAAAACTTCACTGTCACTCTCCAAGACCTAGTCTAGCTCAAAGGCAATCTAAGGAAAAGGAAGGTGTGGGCAGTGAGAAGCCCTCACAAATACAGACACTCCTCAGAACCCCGCAGGACATTTGCTCTCAGTGGTACAGGGCTCGCTCTTAACTGATTACACACAACACACCAACTCTGTTGAGCAACTAAACTGATTTAGAGCTCTGGCAGAGATGAAGGGGGATGAGAGAGAACTCTTTTCTCTTTGCATTTATCAATACTCATCTGAGTGAATGAGTATGGCAGGACAATTCTGAGTGGCAAAAGCATTTGATGGAAATGGAGCTGCCTTAGGTTTCACCCATGATTCTGGTTTGTTTACATTTGATGAAACCTCAGGAAAAGGGGGATAAAAGCTTTGGTTCAATTGAAGTCCTAGTGGTAACCTCCAGTGCTAATAATTAACTCAATTATGCTGAATTAATTTGATATAATTATTGGTGATGAAGCAAAGACAGCGACCCAGAGAAACTTTGAGAGACAGGAAGAAGTCTTAACAATACAAAATATGCTATAAATAGCTTCTTTTTTTCCCCCCCAAACTGAGTTGAAGACACAAAATGAGTTCATTACAGTCATCTGGCTTCACTCAACCCTCCAAATTACCCCTGTACCCAGACAAATAGCTGTGAATTCCAGCAAGTGCACTAGAATTACAGCAGGCCCTGATAAATTTGACATAGCACTCAGCACAAGTGTCTGTCCCCATCCAATTACCTAAACAATGAAGATTTAATAATACATTTAAGAGATCCACAATGCTTCTCCTTTAACTGAAGATGTTAATTAAGAACACTTTTCTGTTGTACTGTTGTCAGTTGGTTGGCTTTTTAAGCAGCAACCTGGAGGAGGCCGCTTATGGAGTCTTTTCATTTATCTGCAGTTTTTATCTAGTATTTTCAGACTCAATCAGTTCAAAACAAACAAACCCCAACTATAAAAACCAAACACCTATCTTTTTCCTCCCCCATTTAATATTTCTGTCATTTGCTTTGAAAAAAGTATTACAGAAATGCCTTCCTTGCTACGAAAATACATTTTCACTGAGGGTTTTTTAATGCTTATGTATTTAAAAATAAAAGAAAATGTCAGCGGAAGCAAAAATCAGATGTGGTTAAGTCTTGGGAAGTGGGTTAAATGACAATGAAATCCAATGAATTCTATCCAAATTAATGCTGGAAGTAGTACCAGAATGCCTCAGGACTGTGCCCTGCCTGCTCCCTCACCCTGCAGGAAGCACCCCTGGCCTGTTTCAGGGTCAGACAAAGCCTTCAGCACCCTGAGTTTGCAAGCTTCTACTGCATTTTCATTATCCTTGGTGACAAGAATAAAAATATTACCTCCATCATCACCAATTGCTTCTGAGGAGAGATTCCAAGTGCTTAGATGTAAGAAATGAATAATATTTTTCCAATTTGCTAAGTAGGTGCTGCTCACACGCCCCCAGATCACTTCCTCCCCGAGTTCTGCTGGTTCTCAAGCACAGCTGATCTTTCAGAACTAGATTTAATTGCCACCAGGCTCTGATAAGACTCATCAGTTTAAAGTAAGCCCCATTACATCCATAATTTATGCATATGATTTCAACAGATCCCTTTGTGCCCAATACTGAGGGGGCAAAAAGCACTTTCCGTGGGGAAGATGCTAATGTTTTCTAAACAACAAGTTTTAAAAAAATATTATTTCTGTAGAAACACTACATTTTAACGTGGTGTGAGGGATTTTTCAAAGGCTCCCACATTTATCTGGACAGCCACACAAATTTTGTCTATGCCTCTTTCCTACAGTCTCTTTCGTTTAGAGAGCTGAGTTACCGCTGCATGGGGAGACATCCTCGGGGAAAGGGCAGGCACAGGCTGGACAGAAGCACAGCTCCCCCTCCTTCAGCCAGCACACAGGAGCGGGCTGTGGGCTTACCTAACCCAAATGCACCTCGTGCCCATCTGCCACACAAGGGTGTCTGCGTAAGTGAGGCGCTCAGCAGCCCCTCCTGCCAGCACTGCCTCCCCCAGAACTCCCTCTGCCCACCCCCAGCCCTGCTCTGCCATCACAGCCTTCATTTTCCCTTTCATGGATTTTTGCTTGAAAAAGCATCACTGCCTTGATTGTCTATTTTCAGCCTGTATTTAAGAAAACCCTTTGGTTCCATTTGCAGCCACATCCTGTCTCAGCCTCCCCCTCTTTTTGTTCCTAAATATAAGGCTGATGCAATTTGATGTGACATGACAAAATAGTACATTTGCATTGGCAGAAACTTTCTCTCAGCAGCAGTAATTAAAGGGAGTAGATGAGACATTGCTGAAATTGGTGTTTATTTAGCCTGGAAATAAAAGGCTTCAAGATGTCTTGAGAGGGATGTTCAAGTGTGTCACGACCATGAAACTCATCAATGAGTGCTGCCTTCGACAGGCTTCCTTTCTGACAAAGAAACGGTCACTCAAACAATGTCATTGATTTAAAGAGAGTAAAAAAAGAAATCAGTTCTGTACACCATATTCCTAACCAGTGAAAATTATTTAATGTGTTTCTTGGGATTATAAATAGTACCAGGACACTTGTGGTTCCACGTAAGACAAGGCAGTCAATCTCTAACTTAGAGCACAGGCTCTCTCAACATGAGAGAAAAATCAAGATCTCATTGACCACACTGAGAATTAGGCACTTAAGTATCTGAATTTTTGATCTGAGATGCAACAGCAGAGGTCAGGTACTCACCTTCACCTACAACACAGACTTTTATTAATTGCCAAAGACAGAAATCCAGAAACAGCAGCCTGAATCCTGTAAATTCAACAGGATTCACACTACAGATTAAAACTCATCTACAAAACTCATGAATTAATTTACTGTGCCCAGTTTTGCTGAACAGATGCACAGCAAATGCCTGACAGGGTCAGGTAATGTCAGCTTTCTGCACTCTGTTCCATTATTGATAACAGCAGTAGAACACAGTAGTGGAAGAAGAGCAATATTTAGAAGTTGTGGGGGTTTACTTGATATTTAGTTTACTTAATCCATACGAAGAATTCAGGGAAAGGTCTGATAGCTGTTCCACAGGCCACAGGATTTAGCAGACATAATATGGTTTCAAGTGAAACTTCCTGCTCAGGAGCATCTTTCCTCTCCTTGTGCACACAAGGCTATTCTTTCAAACCCATCTGTGATCAGCTCAAAATCGGCAGCCCACGTTTTGAGCAGGCTCGTTTCCATCCTAACACAGATGGCACCAAGAACAGGGCAGGCCAGAAAAAAATCAGTTTGTATATTATGCTTCAGTTTTTATGGGTCAGATTACCATTCAAAGCCATCAAAATGGCAACCCATATGTGATGTGTCTGCCATCGGAACTGAAGTGATATACCATCAAAATCTTCACAGGGTTGGTTAGACAGCATTTGATTAACCATTGACTAAACTCTGATATTTAAAATAAAAGACATTTTAAATGTAAAGACATTTAAAAGTAAACGACATTTTCCTTCCCAAGAATTTTTTTACTCTGACAGATCAATAAAATTGCTTTGATGAGTCAATAAGGAAAAGACATTTTGCCATCTTCATCCCTGAACAACTGCATCGGCACGGCTCTCTTGGCAGAAGGGAGCTCAGCTTCTATGCCAAATATTCGCTTCCTCCGTGAGCCAGGTGCAGATGTTGGCTATGTCATCTGTTCCAACGTCTTTGTTCTACAAGCCAGAAAATTGTTCTCACAGCTTTGGGGAGAAAATGGGGATCTGAAGAGCTCTTTGCATGCTTTCATTGGTGGAAGAATATGAAATGTTTTAAAGACACTCTCCTAGAAACAAGAAATGTGTCCTTCCCCCCCACTTGTGACAATTAGCCAGCAGAGAGCCGTGTCCTATGGATCCCAAAGGGATGCTGCAACAAGGTCAAAGCCATGGCGTTCTGTTCCCTGCCTCCTACACATCCTCTGCCTTCCTGCAGTGCCAGCTACAGCCCATTCCCTGCTCTAGGGAGAGCATTATCCCAGATGCTACAAAGACTCTGCTGCCACAGGGACAGGTTTTAAAGTGGGCAGGCCTCTTCTGGGAGAAGTCTATTCAACAGTAAAAGGTATTGGAAATGTCCCACTATGTTACCACAGCACCTGGAACTCAACTGCCATGCTGACAGACAGGGTCACCAGCCTGTGTCACTGCCAATGGCAACATTCTTCATTCACAGGTTTTTTCAGCCCTCTAGCCTCTCTACATGATATTTTAGTCAATGCTGATACTTCAGGTGCATATTCTCAACCAGATACAATATGCACAATGAAAAATTCACTTACAGCATCCAGAGTAGAGGATCTTTAATTATCTTCACAGATTAGGCCTGTCCAAGTCCAAAAGCAAGCAAGAGACCTGCAGAGAAGAATCAATTTTCATTATCTGTTTTTCCTCAACTCGCTACTTGAAGTGCCATTAATAAAGAAGTGCTGAAAAACCCATCCATAGCTCAGTTTATTCCTATGGGACCTTTCACTTTCATATGACCAGTTACATCAGACATAAATGTATGGCTTTAACATGAACAGGCTATTGCTTTCAGTCATCTACTATAAAAAGCTTAAAAAATATACCCTACAGAAAGATTTAAGTAGAGAGAAATTCTGACTCAGGAGAACTGACTCTTCAATATTTCCTGATAAGAGCTGCTGGAGGTAAGAAACCATTTACCTCCATTAAAGAGCCACAGTTTCTCATACTCAGAACTCTGTACAATGACATAATAATTACTTTACAGTATTCTGCATACAAGAAACTGCTTTGGACCCAGGCAACAACAGACGGCACACAGGAAACTGCTTTTCTCGAATACACGATTGTACAGTGAGTAAAGGAAAGCAACTAATTCTCTAAAGCCAACACTAATTTGTTTGTTTAGCACCTTTCCTAAGTTTGTTGAAGTCAAGCAAACAGATTTCTCTGGCTGTCCAAAGACATCTGGATCACGTTTTATTTCAGATCCTGTCAGAGATTTTAAAACAAAAGTCCTGGAAGATAACAACAGAGACTCTGAACAGATATGTTTTTGCCTCCCTTTGAAAGACACAAGTCTTTAAAAAATCTAAGGCAAAACTCTCAAGAACATTTACAAACACATGGATCAAAGACAGCTGTTGCCACAGATTATTTTTTTCCCCCAAGTATTTAAGAGTAGAACAATTTGGTGACATATGATGATTGACAACAGCTTGGGATGTTGACGTTCAGGTTTGGTATCTAATGTCAGCACATATATTTGCCCTCTGAAGGCCATCTCAGGATGCTCACAGGCAGACTTACTGTAATAGGCAGTGTGAAACAAGAATCCAGAAGAACAGATTCAACTTTAAAAGCTCATCCTGAGTCCACTGACACTTTCTAGCTGTGGTAGAAAAACTAAACACCAAAAGCTGCCTTATTTTCATCCATCACCTACATTTTCCTTTCTGAGAGCAGAGGACCTCTGATAAAGATCTTGGCTGAGTGCTGCAGAAAACACCTCTCATTATCATTGTTAATTAGCACTTAGCAGATATACCTGCAGTTAGCTATCCCACCAGGACATTCACCACGCCCTTCCAGAAGTGCAGTCCTCCTCTGTTAACTCATAACCAATGTAATACCCAGACAGCAACACAATTAACTTATCCTTAGGCTGATATTCAAACCAGCAGTTACTTCTATAATTCACTTAGCAGAGCATCAAGCATCTGGGCCCAGAAAGCTTTCTAAACCTACTCCAAATACACCCAGATGAGCTTTGGGAACACAGTTATACAGTATCAGTTGCTGTTTCATTGTTCAGTGATAAACAGTGCTTAAAGTCTAACCTGAATTTCCACTTTGGAGGTGTCTTTGAAGAAAAGTTCATGTCAAACTTGAGGTTCCTTTGTGCTGCCAAAGTGTATAAAGAGCACTGATGTAAATGTGAATTACACTCCTGACACGGTTATTAACTGGTATAAGTTGTTAAAGCAAATAATCTCCAACTTGCTGCCCTATTTTTATCTACTAAAAGCCCAGTGCCTTCTTGTATCCCCCAGTGCAAAGCTGACCGGCACTCAATCCCTTCTGTGCATCAGATTGGTGACAAGATTTCTGCATGTTTGTATGCCACCTCCAAGCATCTGCAGCCTGGAACAATGTGTGGCACTGTTGATTTTATATAACCTTTAAAAACAAATAATAAAATTCTAGTGTGCCCCTAAAACATGTTCAGAAAAACAGGCTTACTTTCCATACACATACATACTTCCAAGCAGAACTTGGGAGCCCATGTTCATTCCTGTCTATGAGGGAGCAATAATATTGCTGTTCAATTTCTTATTTATCCTGTATCATGCATGCTCACCATATCCAAAAGGAATACAGAAATGCTATCTGTAAAGTCTTTACACTTTAATAAAGTCATTGGTAATTATGGTAATAATTTACTGAAGGTAAACAGCCACAAATCTGCTGTTCCTAGCATGCTAAAACGTATTTATCTGTTGGTCTATATGGAAATTTGTTTCAGTGGGCAAAGATCAAAGCCACACACACATTATTTTTCAGAGGGCTGCCAGTGTTTGTTCATGGAATGATGAATCCCATTTGTTGCATTACATCCCTGTCTCTGTATGTCACAACTCTGCTTCCCACTGGTGTGAGAACAGGACCAGAGTGGAATCAACTGCTCTGCTCACACCTTTCTTCCCCAGCATGAACTGGCCAACTTCTACTGGGAGAAACATTTCCATAACAATCTGACCAGACTTCTCCCTCATTTGTTTGCAATGAAAGAGTTAATATCTGTGACCCAAATATGGAGACCCATTTTAAACTTGCTGAAAATTGCTTTTTAATCCTAGCTCTCGAGGATTTCCTTTGAAACCATCTGCCATGCACACTGGGTACTCTTTCCCTGTATATATGCAGGATTACTATAATATGGGTTCTTTTGTGTAACTTAATACATTTCAGCATATTAAAAAATTAGTTGAAATTTCCATTTTTTTTTTAATTTCAAGTGCCATAAAAATGACTGTAGAAGTCAAAACCACTGACAAGTTCACGGCAAAGCCAGCACCCATATTTATCTTATATACTGGAGTATTTGCCTTGCAATTCTAATATTTAATCACTCTGACACTGGCTGGGTTTAAGGAATAGTTATGACTTATTAGTATAACTAACGCACATGCTTCAAATCAAGTTCAAGAATTTTAAACTTTAGGAATGGATTTAATCATATGCTTTACCAGGCTTAAATTTCCCATTCTTATTTTCAAGTCTGGAAGACACAACATCATGATTAGAGATCAGAAAATATTTCCCAATATTATTTCAAATCTATTGCCAAGCTTTTTCTATTTTCTCACTATGAACCTTTATGCAATTGCATTCTTATAGTACATATCCTGAAGAGAAAGAAAAACATCACACTTGTAAATAAACTGAATTTTAAGACTGGCACATGCAACTATGTATATTATAGCAAATATCCAAAACTTAAATTAGAGAAAGTATACTGCTTACTATCACAATAATCACAGCCAGAGTGATTGAAAATAGCAAACATTCAGCAAGCTAGATTTAGAATCAATTTATTGAATCAGCCTATAAAGGAAAAAAAAAATCTAAATCCCAGCACAATTATCAAGCATCTTCAGAGTGACATACTTCTAAAAAAGAGTGATTTCCCTGCAAATATTCTGAGAACAGAAAATAAGGACAATTATTTGCATAGGTTTAATCACATAATGTGACACTGGTATTTCAGGAGCCAGACAGCCAACAGCCTGTGAACTTCTTTGTTCCACATAAACACATCTCAGAGCACCAAACCTGTGCCTGGGCTTCCTGAGCAGCCCTGAGTCTTCGCTCACATGATTCATTTCACAGCCAGTCACCCAAGAGCTAATACAAGTGAGCGGCAATGAAAATCCCCCTCCAAACCAAAGGGAGGATCCCATTCCCTTTGATGCCTTTTCCCTGGAAAGGAGCTGTGTTAGATGGGATAGAAATATACAGGAGAGATGTACACATACATATGTTGGAAGAATGTAGAGAGGAAAAAACAAGCAAATCATTTTGTTTCAGCACTAACAGATGTTGAAGCATGATCATCCTGCAGACACGTTACTTTTAATACAATACTGCTCATAAAGTGAGGGGGGGAGGACAGAACCAATGCCCAATTACCCAGTTTTTTCAGGGTTTCCATTTTAATGAGCTTCCTGGATGATTCTGTTATTTTAATTTTCCTCCTCTAATAATCTTATCAAATTAGTTTTGTCTAAAACATCATCAAAAAGAAAATCAGCTGTATAACAAAATCCTAAAATTGCTGGTAGCAGGTTCTTATGATGCACGTTATACATCATTTACTTCTGTACAAATGCAGAGCAATTCCCAAGATCCTACAGCACTGCTGGGATTAGACTTGAATGACTGAAAACAGTCTCATGTCCTGACACATCTGCTAATGGCAAACACATAGAAACAGACTAACAGCGCAATGGCATTTGCAGATAGATCTGTGCTGAAAAAAACAACCAAATGCAGAACAAATAGATTAAAGCCACCTTTCTGTGGCTAAGGGAGGGATTAGGGGAAGCCTGGCCTGCATTCCAGCTGCAGACTAACCTGCTGTCCTGCCAGACTGCATCTGCCACTCCTGTTACCAACAGAGGCAGTGACTTGCCACCTGGCCAGCCATGTGAGGAGCTGGTGACACCAGGGGTGGCCGTGGGGCCACTGCTGCAGCCAGAGAGCACAGAGCTCACGTGCCCTGCATCCACCAGGCAGCACTAGCCCCAAGCAGCCCTGCATGCCCTCTGCAGTGCCCGGCCTTGCAGGCAAGGACAGGGCAAGCACGAGCAAGAGCTCCAGTGATGGCACTCGCGACCTCGAAACAAAAAAAAGTAAAGACAAACCCCCAACAGCCATAACTGTTTACACAGCAGCTTTCTTACAACCCACTGGTCCCCCAGTACCACAGGAATTAGTGATGCAGAACTAATTGATACAAATCTCCTGAGGGGAGAGTTGCTGCTGGTTATCCCAAGATGAGAAATTTAGTCCAGAAGGATAAATTGGACAGACAGCTGAAAAGCTTTAGTTCTCCTGGTAGGAAAGGAATTGATCTGGTAAAGAAAGCCCTTAAAGAGATACTATCAAGTCAAAAAAACAGGACTAGGAAAAACATTCATAGTCTTAAGACAACTAAGAAACATCTGAAAACTGTGTTTATATCAGTACAGTTAATTATTCCCATCTTCACACAAAAGATGAAAAACTGAAGATGTCAAAATTTTAACATTTCTCCTAGTTAAACTTATGTTATGAATATAATTATGAAACTGCTATGAAAATCCCTGCTCTTCAATTAGAGA